GGTAGGTAGGTAGGTAGGTAGGTAGGTAGGTAGGTAGGTAGGTAGGTAGGTAGGTAGGTAGGTAGGTAGGTAGGTAAATAAATCTGTAGGTAGGTAGGTAGGTAGGTAGGTAGGTAGGTAGGTAGGTAGGTAAAAGATAATGAAGAACCAACAAGGAGGACAACCTGAGTGTGTTGATGTGGATGTTTATTATTTTTATTGGTTTTAATTTAATGCAATATTTTTTGTTATAGATACWGTAACTGAGCAGAAAATTATGAACAGACAAACATTGACAAAAGTTAATAGTGACAATTTTATAAAAAATAGTGATAAAAGACAGCCATCAAATTTACAATCAAGTAGTTTTTGAGCATTGTTTCACAGCTATAAGAGACAAATCATTTTAATTGTTCCATTTACTCCACCTCATTCTGTTACATTCAGCTTGCAGCCTCAACAGAAATGTGAACCTCTCCAGTTTCCTCAGGTGAGTCAGGTTGAAGCTATTTATGAGTGATTGCTTTTTATTTTGGCTGCAGCTTTTAGGATTGTCAGTAAATTTTTACTATTCATCATCAACCCATCAGGAACAGCTCTTAGAAAAATGATAAAATAAGTTGTTGTAATTTAACCCCAAGATTAGTTCTATTTCTTTCCCAGCCTCCGTCCAAACAGTTAACATTTTTATACAGGACTAAAAACGTGTGAGTAAGAGGGGGTTTTTTAACTGAAAAACTGAGATGCAACAAACAAAAAAGCAGCTGTTGTTCCAAGCGAGCGAGTCCTTGAACTCGACTAATATTTGAATTTTAAATGTGTTGCCGAAAATCAATAGTTCCTGCCGGGAAAACAAACGTGCGAAGAAAATCTTAACAAGATGCATTCTGGTTGATATGAAAGGAGTCTAAAATCATGTGGTCATTCATTTATTTTGAACATTTGAGAAAAACAGTGTTTCTGTGTGTGGAGGAGAAGCTCATGATGTTCGTGAGGCTGATGCTGAATAAGCACGAGCTGACTCAGCAAAACAACTCCAGCATGTTTTATTAAAGAGGTGGTGGGCGGTCAGCTCGGACGGGTATGATTCATTTCCAAAGCCTCTGCTTTAACATCTTCTGTTTATCTCATCCTGTCTTAAATGCCATTAAACTGCGTGAGAAGTCTGATTAAACACATTCCTCATCAGCAGCTGCTCTCAATTTAATCACCTCCAAGCATTATTGCCAAACTTGGGAAGGGAAAATGTTGTTTGCCAGCAGATTGGTGAGCCGTCAGGRTTTGATGAGGTGATTCCTTGTCATAAAATAAGAACTATCTCCTCGTGTTCTTCAGGTCTGCAGATAAAAGTAATTTAGAGGCGCTGGAATCGTGTCGGTCTGCGGTAAATGAGCCGATAAGCATCGCAGAACAAACGGAGAAGGAGAATGTTAACCCTCACCACTGATTCAAACTAACAACATTCAGGACAAAAAGCCCAAAAAACTGTCCTGTGAACCTGGTTTTGATTGATCTGAATTACAAGACAGTAAAAGACAAATAATAAAAATATTCCTTTAGATAAAAGTTCTCACCAGTTATTATCACCCCTGCAGGGGAAACATTGTTTTCTTACTTTTTTTTTCCAAGACATTTGGTCAACCGTAGCACAGAAACGGCTGCAACGATCAACGTGAAATTTGGCAGGAATGTAGATGAGTCCGACCTACACTGCTCCAGCAAACAGTTTTAGGATAAACCCCATATTTGAGGAGGGGGTCCATCTTAAAAGGGGGTGTCTTAATGTATAAAAATGCCTATATAAATAAAAAAACTATTCAACATAGGAGCTTCAGAAAACAATAAATACATTCTGGTGACTTCTGAGTGTATTGGTGCTTTGCATATGTGTGGGGGTCATACATGCTACTGCTGTGCAAGTAGCACGCATTTTATTATTAGCTTCCAATATAGTTGGCAAATCCAAACTGCAAAAAAAAATGCTAAAAACTGCTAAAAAATAATGGGTAAGTTTTCAGTTATTACCTCCGCCAAGGGCGAGGTAATGTTTTCGGTCGCGTATGTCTGTCGTTCTGTCTGTGGACAACATTACTCAAAAACTTGTGGACGGATTGTCATACTATTTTTACCACATGTGGGTACTGGGCCAAGGAACATAACTTTAAATTTGGGTGATGTTCCGGATCACGATGCAGATACAGGAATTTTTTTTCTTTTAACACTCTGAGACAGGCAAAGCTGTGATGCTTTCACAGGGCTTCTGTAAAAAACAGTGAGCTGGGTTGGACAGCACGGACTTCAAACTTTATAAAAGTAATGTTAAAACCACATTTAATGATGAACAATTTTTTGCCATAATATGCGCATTTACAGAAAGTTTTGTGACCAGGAAGTGCATGACTGCACCATGAAACCTATTTTTCCCATTTACTCAAATACATCACAGTTCTGAAACAACCAATCAAAACAGTTTGTCTCTACTAGGCTCGTAAACAGAGAGCTGCCGGGCCTCAAAGTTTGGAGACGGGGGGAGCCAGGAAGCACTTTATAAAGAGAGTCAAACCATTACGAACTCATACAAGGAGATAAAACAGACGTTTTACATGGTGAAATGTGACTGATGAAAACTTAGGAGCTTAATCCCACACCAGTTTGACCATGAATAATGTCGGGTGACGAGTCTGACTTTTTTTTTCACATTGGACTCCACAGAGAAGAAATCCCGTGCATACTGCTGCTTAAATGTTCACTAAGTCACAACTTACTCAGCAAATGTGTTTCCATCTCTGCTTTTGTGCGTTAACTCTTACAGGATGGGGGAAATTGGTCTTGGCGGAGGTTTGCACTCTCCAAGTGCTTCTAGTCCTCAATGAATTCAGCCAGTCATGCTGCCTATTTGAAGATAAACTGATTTTTATTTGTTCTTTAATCATCAGTCTGTTTTAGACCTGGACCTAACAGTCAGTAGCAACTGTGTCTTCTGTAGAGGCCAAWATCCAGCTCCTCA